AAAAAAGCTGGTACGTCGGGTCGATATAAAACTTTAAAAGTTTCTCACGGACGTTAAGAAGCTCTTTTCTTAACAGGGATATTATTTTATATTATATTTTATATTTATTATTTTATCGGAAGCTAATGCCCTTCTGAGGAGACGCTGACAAAGTCCTCGAGATAGATTCGATCAAAAAATGTCGATCATGGCTATGGCCGTCTGCTCCCAAAACAGTTTCTTTTAAGACCTATAGTTCTTAATAGAAATGTACAAGGAGAGGTAGAAATGTCAGACGTACATACGAGGTCTGATCAAAGAGTTCCAGTACTTTCTTGCTAAAAAATAAACCGATTTAGGTAGGGGGCTGGGACTTGTGTAGGTGGGGGTGGGGGTAACCGCACGCATGGTGAAACCTTTGCGCAAGGATTAACCAGTCGCGAATCACGAGCGTTGAAATCCGGTCGTCTCCGTGCCCTTCGTATTTGTGTCCTTCGGGTCCGCATGCGTACCTCTTTACATACCTTTGCGCGGATGTGGTCCAGACGTACACAATGTGTATGTTGCAGACGCAGATGTCAGGGTTCCCAATACGATACTCAAAATATTGTGACGGATGAGGATGGCATCGAGAGGGTCGACTGAATGTCCGGGGTTCGGTGGTGTAAAGGTAGCACACCTGACCGGCAATCAGGAGGCCCGGGNGCTCCATAATGGCGTATGTTTGATCCTTTCGGCCATTTACTTTATGGAATGGGTGGAAAGGAACTGGAAGGAACCTTCACTGAGCTTGGTTAAATTTCCAACGTTCACGGTTTTGTTTCATTGTCCAGCTCACCCCCTATGAAAACCCCTGATCGTGCCCTTCGCCTTCATTTTTCCTCTCCAAATCAGTAGATACGACCCAGGTATATACCGGAATGAGTGACATAGATCTTCCAGGAAGAGGAGGAGGAGAAGGAGGAGGAAGAATAAGCCATAAAAAGGGCGGAGGGAGAGGGGCAAGCATGGGAATGGCACCAGGTGGAACATATCCTCGAGCCAGGACGCAGCGGACCTTAGGTGATGAGTTTTATTCCTTTCCCTGTATTCTTCCCATCATGATAAATGTAAAGTAGTATTTGGTAAAAGTATAATTATCATGTTTCGATGGCAATCAATGATTCTGGAAAACGCTGGGGTTTTTTAAATGCTGGATTAAATGCTGGGGTTTTGCAAGTGGACAGAGAAGTGTAAACTGATAGATTTGGAGTTTTTACTCTTGGAGGAACGAGCGCAAACTTTCAGTAAGCTTGGAAGATTGTCCTTAAAAATAGTGAGGACTTGCTACCTATGGTTTCCATGATAACTGGTCCAGCACGTCTTGCTTTGCGTCATGGAGACCTCGCCGAGCTGTCACTGCCTTACCTGTGACAGTTCTCCAACTGTCGGAGACGCGATCCCGGATGATGGTGTCATTAAAGTTCATTTCAAAGCTCCTCAAAGCTGAAAACTGAGGTACAAAAGCAGGTTTCTCAAACGCCCATGAGCCCGAAATGAGGTACACATGGAAGGGTACACATGAGTACCTTATTTTGCTTCGGTACCTTTTCAACGAACGCATTTTACGACAAACGTTTATACCTCATAACATAAAAAATGTGTTCCTCACTGCACGTTTCTGCGTTGCTGTGTAGCCCCGCACGACGCTAACGTACTTCGTCCGATCGAAACGTCATGAGAGATTAAGCATAAAATGCCAGCCAGCGTTTTTCCACGCCGAAAACAGAGAGGAACCTTATTTCTCGGGACCCATCAAGGACGTAAAGTGTCTCCGGCCACCCGGGGTAACCTTCAATAGAGAATATCCGCACGTGTAAACTCACATAAAGGCAGTGGAGCAACTGCGAGCCGAGAATGTCACCTGCACACAATATCCATTGTGTGCATATTGCGTGCTGGAGACATCCTCGATACCACCACAGAGGGGCTGACAGCCCAGAGAGTGCTTCTGCCGTTCTCACTTTGCCCGCTTTTATCAACACGTGCGTGGAAGGGACGCAATTGCGTGTGAACTCGCTATTGCACGTGGACTCGTGTGAACAGACCTGCTAATGCATGCGTTCCTGCGTTCAGACGCACATCAGACGCGTATCGCGTGATGTGGCCTTCGCGTCACGCCGAATCCGAGACGGCCCGAAACCGCCTGTGACTTCCGTTTCGGCAAATGACGGCTCAGGTTTTACTCTTATGGTGCCTGCGTCGATTATATCGACGCTACGAATTTCGTTCGAAAATGTCAGAGTCGAAGAACTGGCACCATACGGGTTAAAGTAAGAGGGTAAACACGATCAATGGCGAAAATACATTTCTCAATCCTTTCATTGCCAGCACTTCGACTCCGGCACGTTCAAACCAAAGTCGTAGCGTCGATCGAATCGACTCTGGCACTGAAAAGGTTTGAAACTCAAAAACGCGTTGAAGGACGCGACGACAATCCTCTCATTTCGAAGGCAATTCCGAAAGGCTTTTCGCCGAGGAAATCTAAATTTCGCCCACTCGGAAATTTCGCGACGGGCGTGACGTCCTCCGAATGCCTGTTGGATGCCACGTATAATTAACTTCGAGATCTGAAGGCGACACCTGCCGCCCTCAGGCTCTGAAGGCGGCTTGCGATTCGATTGATAATCGAGGTAATTGGTAAATAACACCTTCACAGTTCCCGTCAAGAAGTACCCACTCGCGTACTCCGTGTCCTCATGTACTAAGCCTTGTCTTCCTTCTTGTTGATTGGCACTGCGACGTGAAAACAATCGCGAGTGAAACGGCCGTCCTCGGCCGTCGGTTCCATTTGATGCCGTGCAGCTGCGCGTGGAGCACAGGACATCCTGCTTCCAGGTCCCATTCGCATTCAGCTTTACCATATTACGAGGTTTCTTTACTTTTTTTTCCGGGCAGCTTGAGTTCTGCTCCCACGGCGGGAAAAGTTGCTATCAGAGAAAATAGGGATAATGTGGTTGGTGCATGGATGTTGGTGTATGCAGTTGTTCAACTGTGTTTACATCTGCTTGAACTGGAATCGTAACGACTCAACTCGATTGGTACAAAACTGTGCGGTAGAGGCTCCATTTGCTTTCGGCGAAATATATTATATCTAGCTCCTCTCTTGTATATACCATACGACCCATGCTACCCCATGCTACGCATTGCTACCATCTTCTGTACTTTCGTCTACCGTGTCTACACCATGCTACCCCATGCTACCCATTGCTACCATCTTTTGTAATTTCTTCTACCGTGTCTGCACCATGCTACTCCATGCTACCCATTGCTACTCTCCTTTGTACCTTCTTCTACCGTGTCTGAACCATGCTACTCCATGCTACCCTTTGCTACTTTCCTCTGAACCCTCTCTTCAAGGCTTTACACCATGCTACTCCATGCTATCCGCTGCTATTGCCTTAACTCTCTTCTCACGCGTGTGCATCATGCTACTCTATGCTACCTACTGCTATCCTCATCTCAGCTCTCACTTCTCCCAACTCGACCATACTCCTCCATGCTACCACGCGGTTGTCTCTTG